AACTGTGCTCCTCCATTGCCTGGATCTGCAGGGAATTCAGGAATTTAACTTGGCTGCTTCCGTGGGAAGCTCCTGAATATTCCGGAGAGATTAGACTTGGTCTGTGGAATGAGGATTATTTCTTGTCTCTGAAAGGGGGACACTTGTGGTCAGTACTGGGAAGATGAATTTTTAGGAATTGTTTGGAGGAAAGTCCGGGGTGTTTTTGTGCAAGGAAAAGTTGTTCTCCAAGTAGGAGTCAGCACTGGAAGTAAAATAGAGGAGCTTGTGGAATGTGGAGGTCTGGGGTGGGATAACATTAGGGGGGGTGTTGGCAGAGCTCTGGGACAACCTGGAGGAGTTTGGAATGAGCACATGGATTTATTAGAGGCAGTGGGAAACTTCAGGAGGACCAGGAGACACCAGAAACTTGGGAAATGAGGAAATCCCCACTCTGGACTTCCTGGATAATTAATAATGGCCCATTTCTGCTCAGTGACCTGAGCTGATCGGGAGGAACAAAACCTGTGGATAAGGATTAGCTTTAGGAATGGCCTATGCTGGGACTGGGGAGGGGTGGAACAGGAAATCATTAAAATCCTTTGCAAAAGCTGGAAAAAAGCTTGTTAATTTTCTCTAATATTATCAGGAATTTTGATAATCCATGGGCAGTGCTCAGGAAGGGGAAGAGGTTGAGTGTGTGAGGCTTCTTTAAAATTTAGGTGATATCACTCTGAATTTTGGGGAGTTTTTCACTGGAATTGCTCCTGTGATATCTGTGTAGCAAAGAGAGTCCAGGGAATAAAACTGGAAATTGCCAAGGACTCCAAAAGGAAGGAGGGATTGGGAATTCTTTGAACAAGTGCTTAATAAACCCCAGTGAAAGAAATGTTAACTTATTTTTAATTGCTTCAAAGTGACTTTGTAATTGAAAGTTAATTAAAGGTCTTGAAAAATTATGGGGAATTTTGGGAACACCTTTATGGAAAAGCAGCTGCCCACCTTAAATGATTTTTATTGCTGCTTAATCCATATGAATTACTCAATTAATTAGTTAATTGTGGATCAGCACAGGAATTTTCTGTGGACCTTGTAGCCAAACTGGGAGCTTTGGAGGGAATGGGATTCCAGGGATATAATGGTGGGAGATGAGGTGGGAATGGTGCAGTGGTGGGTGGAAAACCTTGGCCTTATAAAAATGATTCATTTTTAATTAGAACTGAATAGAAAAATAAACCAGATCTCACCCTAAGTCTCTCTTAGAGTTCAGATTAGAGCGGGTGACTTAAATATCTGGAATTATCGGGAATTATCCACCCATCCTGCTGCTGTGTCCTGGATCCTCTCCGGCCCCAAAATCCAGCGGCAGAGAGCTGAGCTGTTGTTATTTCAGTCCCAGTTGTCCTTTTCCCGCTCTTTGGCTCCAAACCCAACCCCTCCAGTTTTCCAGGGGATTAGGCCTGGGTTTCTTTTTAATCAGGAAGTGAAAACGTGGATGGGATTTGCCACTTTTCCTAATCCTGCTCTGCCCTCCTGCCCTTCTACCGGCACCCTGCAAGTTATTTTAGGAATACAGGAGGACTGATGGGAAAGGGAGGTGTGGTTGGGGTGACATCCAGCAGGTGAATCCTGACACATGTCCAGGATGTTCCTGGAGGAAGGATGATGCCAAACTTTGCCAGTTTAAGGAATTCCAGACTTTTTTTTTCATCTGGAGTTCCCACTTATGTCCTAGGGGAAATTTAATCCTCTGGAGCTTAAAGAACCCTTTGATTTTAGGAACTTTGAGATGTTGAGTCGCTGTGTGTTGTGACATTGAGTTTCCCTGGATGCACATTTTCCTGGGATGGATGTTCTCCTGGATGGATGTTTTCCTGAAATGGTTGATTTCCTGGATGGATGTTCTCCTGGTTGTGTGTTTTCTGGGATGCATGTTCTTCTGGATGCATGTTCTTCTGGATGATGTTCTCCTGGGATGGATGTTCTCCAGGATGGATGTTCTCCTGGATCGATGTTCTCCTGGATGGATGTTCTCCTGTGATGGGTGTTTTTCTGGAATGCATATTCTCCTGGATGGATATTTTCCTGGGATGGGTGTGTGTGAAGGTGCTGGTGGAACACATGGCCCTTTTCACCCTCTTCCTTAAAAACTCCTCCCTCTCCAGACTGGCCAAAGCCATTGCTGGTGATTCCCAACTGCTCCCACCCCTTGGCCAGGAAAAGTGTTGGGAATGGGTCTTTGACAGGAGGAAGTTCAGGAGACGGAGCAGCCCTGGGAGCGTTACTGTGCTGAGCATCCCATTACTTGGGGATCCAGTGCTAAATTCCTGCCTGAATTCCCGACTGATTCTCTTGGCTACCCCTCGTCCTTCCTTCCCTCAGTGTGAAGCCTTTTCCTGGGATCTCCCCTCCTGCTGTGCTCCCTGTTCCCGTTGCTGGGCTCTCCGAGGGCCATCTGGTGAACCAGATCAGGGAGCAACAAACCAGGTTATTTTTATCCCGGATCACTTCCCTAATCCCGTTCCCTGCACAGCTCCAGCACAGCCTTGGTGACACGAAGGCACTTTTTAAGGAAAGATTGGAAAGCTCTTCCAGCCAGGAACGACCCTGCGCTTTCCTTTCTTCCGAAATCCTTTCTTTCCATGCCTTTATTCCCTGCCAGGTATTTACACTCGATGAACGTTGTCGTGCCAGCAGAACTTCCCACTGTTGTGCCATCCCCCTAAATTTTCCAAGTTAATTCCTCCTCACAAATTCATTTTTCTCATTCTTTAATGGATGTCTTTGCACTTCCAGACCTCCTCACACTCACATTTCTTTGGTTTAGTCCTAATTTAAAGGATTTTTCCCAATTCCTGGCCCTCAGCACTAAAGGCTGTGTGAGTCCTGTCCTCCTGCTGAATGCTGGAAACCCTCCAGGAATTCAGCACTGCTGGACACAAACCTTTGGTATTTGATGAGCAAGAGCTCATTGACTTCCTTGGCCATCCAAAATATGGATTTGAAGCAAATTTAGGAATCAAACCCGCTCTGGGAAACAAAACAATAATGGCAGAGGGATTGGAGGTGGGAAAGCAGCAAAAGGAATGGTTGATCCCGTGGGCAGGATGTGCTTTCCCCAAATCCAGGGCGGGAAGAAGATCTGGGGGAGGTTGAACTTATTTTCTGCTCCGTTCTTGCCACAAAAAGAGGGATTTGTTGCGTTTTCCGAAGCTGTTGGAAGCGAAGCCGCAGCCCACGTCTTCTTGCTGTGGGAGCGGGTGTATTCCTGGAAGGAATTAAAACTGGAGCTGTTATATTTGGTACCTCCTGGAGCACTGAGGCTCCTTTGGGTACAGAATGTGCTCAGAGAGAGGCTCATTTGCCACCGAGGAGCTTGATGGGATGAGATTTGTCAAGTCCTCATTTCTGCTGGAATTCGCTCTCTCCTGAAGAGATTTTAGGGTTGTTGTGCCTTGGAATTTTGAAGGGCCAAGAAACCTGAAACCAGGATTGAATTCCAAGCAATGAATGTTCTTATTAGAATGTAGGAAAACAGGTGGAAACATTCTTCCCTCTTTCCCTGGGGGGTAACAACAGTGTTGGGTTTATCTGGACCTCACTTGCCACTGAGGAGCTTGGTGGGATGAGATTTGCTGAGTCCTCGTTTCTGCTCGAATTCCTTCGTGTTTTCCTCTCTTTCCTGACGAGATTTCAGGGTTATGCCTTTGAATTCTGAAGGGCCAAAAAGCCTGAAACTGGGATTGAATTCCAAGCAATGAATATTGTTATTAGAATGTAGGAATACGCACCTGTGGAAGCAATAGGTGGAAATATTCCTGACCCTTTTCCCTGAGTGGTAACAACAGTGTTGGGATTATGTGGAGACTGGAACATCACCAGGGTGGGTTTGGACTTCTGTCTAAGGATTCCGTTTGAGTTCATTGGTTTCATGTGAAAGGTCTTGTGGTGGAATTCTGAAGGGAAAAGTGGGATGGATCAGCACTCCCAAAGAAAGTCTCACTTGTTGGACTGGATCCAGCATTTTCTGCATCCTGGTTTCTCCCCCAGGGTATGGGTTTTTTGGGTGAATGTGAACTAATTTGGGATCAGTGGGTAGAAACCAGGAAAAAAATATTTCATGGGAACATTTTGGGCCTGGGTTGATTAAAATTAACAGTTATTCCGGGGAGCTGGTCCTGGTTTGGGAACAGGAGTTTTGCTGCTCCTCTCTGATGCCTAAAACATGTGGAGTGGCTTGGGAAGGGGTTGCCCTCCCCCTCCTGCATCCTGTGCTTCCCAGAGCCCAGTCACTCCCAGTATGGTTATGAGCACTCCCAGTCTATCCCAGTTGCCCTCAGCATGCTCAGTCCGAGTTGCTTCCAGCATGATCCCAGCTTCTCTCACTTGCTCCCAGTAGCCCAAAGTGTGGTCCCAGTTGCCCCAGTTGTGGTCCCAGTCCCCCCAGCATAGTTCCGGTATCTTCCAGTTGATCCCAGCTGCTCCCAATGTGTCCCCAGTTGGCTCCCAGTATAGGTCCAGTAGCTCCATTCACACCCACTGTGTAATCCCAGTTGCTCCCAGTATGATCCCAGTGTGATCCTGGCCACTCCCACTATGATCCCTGTTACTCCCAGTTCCTCCCAGCTGTTTCCAGCATGAACCCAGTTTTTTAGAGGCATTTAATTTCCAGTTCCAGAGCTTTTGTTCCAACTGGGAAGGTGGAGGGGTGGGGGGTTGAGAATAACATGTAAAACTGGGGCTAAAAGCTGTGTATTCCCAAATCCTCACAAACAGCTGGTTAACAAGGATTTGCATGGAAGCTTAAACTGGGAAGACCTTGGACTTATTTCCAGCTCTGGCATCCCTTCCCACTCCTCCCTTTCTCCCAGCCTGTCTCCCGTGTCCCCATTCCTTGTGCTCCAGGGGAGCCATGACCCCCCTCTGCTGGAAGGAACCATATTTTGTGTCCCACAGGTTTTCCCACAGAGCCCTCACGACTCTTTCTCTTTCTCTTTCTCTCTGTCCTGTTGCTGCTCCAGAGCTCTGGAATGCTGTGAAGACTCACTGCCCAGGCACATTCCCCTCCGGATTATCTCCATCCAGAGGAAGCTCGTCTCCCAGAGGTACCAATCCGTGTTTGATGTGTCCCCTTCCATCGGGTTTAGATTCTCCTCCCAACCCCGTTTTCCCATCTCCCTCCATGCAGGAAAGCTTTGGATTCTGTGGATTATAAAGTGTTGCTGTTTGAGCTGGGCCCTTCTTTCTGTTAAAGGAATTTGGTGGAATTGGAAAATAAGGAATTTCCGGCTCGTCAAATGCAGGAGTTGAAGCTGCACCAACACTGTGGGCCTTAATTTTATTGTGGTGATTTGTAAAGTGAATAAACTCTGCATTTTGGGATTTAGTGCCCAGATTATGAGCCCTGAGCAGGTCAAGCCTCTGAACATGTTTTTTATATAAAAATATAGATAAGAATTAAGTACCTTATCTACAGGAGCTGTGAAACAGTCAGAAAACCCCTTTGGAAAACATCCCTATTTGCCTGCCCTTCAGTTTTCCCTTAGGAATTCGCTTACCTCTGGCTATGGAAGACACTGGGATGGCTGAAGTGACTTGATCCAGCTGTTCTTGTGGAGGAATATGGAAAACCAAGGACTGTGGGTTTTTTTCCCCCTTTTCTGTGTTTGGCTGCTCAGTAACATGAACTTTAAATGTCAGCAGCTCCTGGATCTGCTGGGCTGTGTTGGGATCAAACATTTGGACACGCTGTGACCCTTATCCTGAGGGGATTTCATCATTTTTCAGCCCTACTTTGGGAAAAACCTGCCCTAAATCCACGTCTGCTCTTTGGACACAGGCAAAATCCCACTGTTCCTTCCTCTCCCACCCCATCTCAGCCCAGACGGAACAGAAAGTGCCAAGGATTTCAGGGAAGCTTTTTGTCCTTGCCTGTGCCAGCCTTGAAGCAGCAGCAAAGATCCCCTGCTCATCTCCCTCTTTCCCCTTTTTCTCCTTTTCATGCTAGAAAAAAGGATAAAGATTAAAAAAAAAGGGGACTTTGATGCTGCTCCTGACCCTTTTCCTGCCTGGTTTCCCCCAAATCTCCAAGCTGAGGAAGCAATAGGAGACCCCATTGTGCTGCTTTTTTGGGATATGAGAACCAGAAATCCAGGGCTGTGGAAGTGGAGAGGCAAAGTCTCTCCAGTCCCAAGGGTGGGATTGGTGGGAGGTGGGGTGGGAGAAGGCCCAGGAAGTGGGACTGGGATTGGAACTGGTGGGAGATCTCTGGGACAGGACATTCCAAGTGAGAACATGGGAAGTGGTGGCTTTGCAGGAGAAAGCTCCTGGTCCAGGGACTCCTGGTCCAGTTCAGCTCCACATTAAGGAATCTAGGTTTAAACTTTGGGTGTCTGAGCTCCCACTTTGGTCCCTGGAGACCTCAAGAGTGGAATTGTTGGAGCCTGAGCGACCTGGCTGACCAGCTCCTGGTTGGCATCTCCAAGGAGATCGGGATTGCTCTCCAGGCTGTGATTGTCCTGCTTGGAATCTCCACCAGCCACTTCAGATATTTAATTTTTCAGGATCTTTATTTGGGCCTTTTTAGCCTCCTGATGGTGATTTCATTCAGAAATCAAAAGGTGGAAGGAATTGGCTTAAACTCCCAGGAAGTGTCCCACTCACCCACATCCCAAGAGAAATTCCAGCAATTCAACAGTTAATCCTGGTATGTTTGTGTGTAAAATCCACATGTATCCAAAAATACCTCTCTTATCTCCCTCCTGGTTTGGTTTGATGTAAACATTCTGTGATGCTCTTTTACATTAGGCTGGGTTTTATCCACTGTGGAATTTGGAACTGGGCCTGGACTTTACGCTTTTGCTTCTCCACGATTCCAAACTCAGACGGAACATTTCTGATCTTCAGTCTCGGGATTGTTTGTGCCAGTTTGGTGGGATCTTCCCTGGGCTGGGAATGCTCCAAATCCGGGGTTGAAGTGAAGCTTTTTTCCAGCGTGGCCCGGAACACTTCCAGGGGTGGGATGTGGCACTATGGGGGAACATCCCCCCGTTCCCTATGCTTTCCATAACTCCTCCCTGCAGTGTTTGCTCCACATCCCTTCTCCCACAAACCTCAGATGGATAATTTCCCACCTCTTCCCGCCGTGCCAGCCTTGTTTGTGTGGAGGAACAAATATTCCCTGTGGATTATCCAGCTCCTGGAGCACAGTGCTGCTGGAAATACCTGGTTGTGATTAAGTGCATTTTGAATTTGGGAGTTTGCTTAATGAGCTGCACCTTCCCCACATTCCTTTGTTCCCTCAGAAGAGCTCCGTGTTCCGATTTACGGGGCCAAAAGGGGGAAAGTGCCATGAAAAGCCTTAATTAGTCTCGTTTGAGTGCACAGGGAACAGAGTTGGTGTGAGCCAGCTTTTGATTCCACCCTTTGATTTTTCCCTAAGCTCGTTAGAGGCTCTGTATCCCTGCCTTTCTCCGGCTGGATTGGATAATTGGAATTTCGAAGAGCAAGAGCCAATTATAAGCAATAAAGTTGTGAAGCAATCGGCTTCATTATTAAATGTTCTTTTTTGAACATGTGGAAGCCATAACTTGGTGGGGTGGGATTCACAGGAATGATGTCCAGAGGGTTTGTTGTGAACCTCACAAAGGAGAATATTCCAGGAGCCTTGGATTTGCCCGTTGTGCCACATTTCAGTGGTGTGTGAATCCCAGAATCCCAGAATTTGGGCCGCCGAAGGTCATCCAACCCAACCTCCCTGCTCAGGCAGGATCCCCGAGAGCAGCTACTTCAGGGTTGGGAATATTCCCAGGGAAGGAGATTCCAAAACTTCTCTGGGCAGCCTCTTCCAAGCGCTCCGTCACCCTCACAGGGAAGTTCTTCCTCATGTTCAGGTGGAACTTCCCATGTTTCAATTTCTTCCCGTTGTTTGGCAGCACCAAGAGCCTGGTGGTGCCGCTGAGGTTTTGATTTTTCCTCTACAGGCCAATAGGAAAAAACCCCCAAATCTTGGAATACTGTGTTTTATCTTTGGAATTCCCACATTTTTTGGGGTATTTCAGTGTGTAGTTCCTGTAGTCCCCAGTTCTGGCCATGGATTCTCCACACAAAAGACTGGAAATTAATTGAAATGCAAATCCTACTCTAAGGTATTTGGGTTTTTTTTAATTGGACCCTCTAGAATTATGCCTGACTGGAAAAAAAGAATTCCATTGGTATCATTTGGATAATTTGGTTTGTTTGGGAATTAAGATTTCCTTCTGTCTCTATAAAGTCTGCTTTTCTCTTGGATATTATCTGCTCCAGAAAAAGGATGTTGGATTGGGTTTCCATCCCAACTTGCCATTAAGGAGCCAGCAGTTGGATCTTCCAGCTCTTCCTTCCTTCCCTGTGGCAGTGGGGGTTGTAACACCTGACTGTGGGATGATGACCCACCTGAAAATGTTTTTCCAGGATTCCAATCTCCACCTGCACATGGAAATCTCCACATTTCCCACTGCTGGACATCAGATTCGGGGTCCTTAGATGAGAGGGAATGGTGGGAAACATGGAAGTTCCTTGGCTCAACAACCAGCCTGAATATTTGGGATGTGTGTGATGATGCACCGATGTCTTCCATGGGGATTTGTCTTTCCAAAGGCATTTGCTCTTGAGGTGCTGCCTTTTTCCAACCCTGTGGAAAATTCCTTGCTTTTAAATATTTATATACTATTTTTATACTATTTTAATATATTTATACTATTTTAATATTTTATACTATTTTACTATATTTATATCCAACATACTGATATTATTTCAATGTATTTATATATCTATACTTAATATAGCTATATTTTAATACATTTATAGCATTTAAATATACTTTAATATAAAATGACTGACTTCCATAAAATAACACTGATTTCTTGTTGGGGGATCATTTGGAAGTGAATGGGAATTTGTCACCTCTGTGAAATTTGCTTCTTGGCAAGAGTTTAAAGCCCTGAAAAGGAAGGGAAGAAGGAGAAGGCACCTCTTAGCTCAGCCAGTGCTGATCCCGTTCAACATTCCCTTTTAATCCTTGGCTTGTGCCTGAGCATCCTGACGCTCCGGGGTCACCGTGGGATCAGCACAATCTCCCTGCTCAGCTTTTCCAAGCCTGTCTGTGGTGTTAAGTCTCCAGCTGGAAAGGTGATCCCCTGGGGAGCCTTGACCTGCTCTCAGAATTCCTTTCTCCTGGGTTTTATTCCAGTGGTTTTTCCCTCCCCGTCAGCCCCACTCTGTTAATTGTTGTGACTGCTCAGCACAACCCTCCCTCTCCCTCTCCCAAACCTCCTTTGCTTCAGCTCCTTCCTGATCAAGTGGTTCCTGGAGCAGGGCCCAAAGTGTCTCCTGGTTTCATATCCCCCCAGGGGCAGCACAGCCAGACTTCCATCCTAATCCCTCTTCCCAAACACAGAGACGTTGGCACTGTCTAGACATGGGCGTTCCAGAGAGTTTATTCCCGCTTTCCCACGTGCTCCCTCAAGGTTGAGGGTTTCCTCTTTCTCCTTTTCATCCCACAGGGTCTTCCTCAAAGCCTTTACTCCGTGGGGTGAAGTCCCACAGATAATTTGGGAATGGGGTGAAATCCCACTGACAATTTGAGAATGGGGTGAAATCCCACATCCAGTTTGGGAATGGGGTGAAATCCCACAGACAATTTGGGAATGGGGTGAAATCCCACAGACAATTTGGGAATGGGGTGAAATCCCACATGCAGTTTGGGAATGGGTGGCTTTGAACTTTTCCACTTTTTTTCTAATCACTGAACAGCCTTTTCTTGAGCCCATGTTGGGCAGCTTTTCCATGCGGGAGTGGATCCTTAAAAGCTGGACTTTGGGAGTAGGGGAAGCTAAAAATTTGAGTTTCCTGCTCCTTTGGAATTTTCCCTCTGCTCACGGCAGGCTCTGACCTTTCTTTTCTTGGGAAGTGTTCTGCTGGGAAGTTCAGCTAATGAGGGAATCATTAGGATCCTGGTCAGCCTTGGATGTGGTGTGGTTGTGTAGTGAAGAGGAGGGTGGCCACAAAAACACTGGGAAAACTGAAGATAAATTGGAAGTGGAGCAAAATCACCCATTCTTTGTACCCAAAGTTCTCCCTCATTCTGGAGCTGGCGTCCTTATGTGCATTTATTTCCCATTTTTTCATAATAAAGTGTCAAAATGGTGGTCTCACTCCAGCCAGAACTGCCCATGGATTCTCCTGCAAGTGGAAAAGGCGTGGTCATCCTTGAATTCCCTTCCCCAGTCATCCCAACTGCGGATGGTTCCACTTGTGACACGAGGAATTCCATTTTTATCTGGCAATAAGAGCTAATTGACAAACCTGGGAAGTTGTACAGAAGAAGAAATGTGTCTGTTCTTTTGCCTCGACAAAAAGACAACTTAAAGAGTGAAAAAATTCCTTGAAATTGTTCGTCGGAGGGGGCAAACTCGGCTTTTTGTTCTGGGAGGGTTTTGTGTCTGTAGGATTCCAGCTGAATGCCGGGTGGGAATCGACTGCTAATGTTGATTTTTTAAAAAAAATCTGGATTTTTTGGGCACAGGAGGTTCTAAAATATTGCTCAGAGAAATGGTTCTGACAAGAAAAGTGAGGTCAGAAAAACAGGACTGTGTCATTCCAAGCCAAGTCCTTGGAAACATCTTCAGTGGCAGTTCTTCCCTGTCCCAAATCAGCTTTTTTCCTTGGCAGGGAAGACCTGAAGTGCTGTTTGTTTGCAGAATTCCTGCGTGGCTGACTCGGTCCTCGGAGTCCTCCTGGTAAAGTCAGCTCTTGCTACTGAAAAAATCCCAAATAAACCAGGGAATGTCCAATATTCCCGAGGCAGGAACAACACGTGCAGCTTTTGGTGGTGATTGGTTTTATTTTGGGATGTAGGAGATGCATTTCAGATGCATTTCAGGGAGAGCCGGAACATCTTTTTTCCCCCTTTTCCCACTCATCCAGAAACACTTGGAAATGAGCAATTCCATGTCTTTGTCTAGTTGAGGGCTGTTTTCTCCTAATATAAGGAAATAATTCCCACTTCTGTTAAGCCATTGTCCCACAGGGATGTGGAGCAGATTCCAATTTGCTGCCCTTGGCTGGAGAGGGAATTGTGAAGGAAACCTGGGGGAAGTTGGACCAGTGTTAAATCCCTCTCCCAGAATAATTCCCAGCTCTGTGTTCCAGGTAACCTTTGAAAAGGGAACTGTCAGATTACATTTGCTTTCTGGGGATGGAAAAAGATCCATAATTTGGTCAAAGGACAACCAAGGACTTTGTTTCTGTGGTTAAAATATGGAGTTATCTCCTGAGGAATCTGAGTTGATTCCCAGAGGTCCCTCTGATTCCGTGCTAGGGGAAGCTGTTTTCAGGGAATATTAAGAGCACTTGGAAAGGTGCCGCAGCAAATCCTTAGGGATGTACCTGGAACTCCAAAGGGTCCCAGCAAGGCTCTGCCTCTGGGATAATTCTGACCAGATACAGGGATCTGTATTCCTGATTTATTGCGTAGGTTTTCCCCAGTAAAGAATTCATGGCATAGTTCAGGAATCTGGGGTGGTTTAATTATATGGAGCAGCTTTGGATGCACCTGAAACCCCTGGAAGTTGGTTTCTTTGGATTGGTGGGTGATGGGTCTGTCAGGAGATTATACAGCCCCATGTGGAGTCTCCATCCTATATCAGGGATATGTGTAGGGTATATAGGATATGGACCAGCAGATCCCCCCAAAATTCTGCTCGGGGGGAGCTAAACCCAGCCTGGCTGCAGCACAACTTCCAGCTCTTTCCTGGGAAGTGGGATGTGGGTGTAGACATCAATTTAACAAAGCCAGAACAGGAGATGATGTTTAATTGCTCAGGGGGTGACACGGAGCCCTAATTAACAGCCACATAATGGGGTGTTTGGCTCAGGATCCTGAGCGGGATGTACCCGGAGAACATCAGGGAAGGAGCTTGGCAGAAGATGATACGTGGGCTGGCTCTGCTAAGAAAGCCACCCCTGCAAGGCAGAGCTGCTGGAGGTATGAGCCCCCCCTCTTTTTGGGAATACTGAGTGTTCCCAAACCTTTCCAGAGCTGCACATCCTCTCCTGGTCTCATCACCCCCGGGAAAGCGAACCCCCAGAGTTCCTGCCGTTCCCGCTGTTCAGCTGGAACCTGGCTTTGGTCTGTGGGTAAACACTCACCAGCCTTCAAACCCCAGCAAAACAGGGGTGTTTTTTTGTTTCCGAGGGGCAGAGAGTGTTAAGTATGGGATTACCAGGCTGGAAATGGAGCTGTGTTTTCCTGTGGCTCTTTTGTAATTCCAGGATTATGTTTAACAAAGGTCCCCTTCAGCTCCCTCAGTGTTTCATTCCCTTGGGATGCTGGTGAGACCAGAGCTTTCCTTACCACGTTGAACTTTGCAAGAGGAGGTTTTTCACTTTATATTCAGGATGGAATTTCCTTTTTCTCCTTCTTAGGGTTTAGTTCACCTATTTTAGGAATGATTCTTCTGGATTTATTCCAAATATAGCTGCTGTGACTCAGCCTCTGCTCCTGGCTTTGGGATCCAAGATGCACTTGCTGCTTTTGCATTCCCTCCGTCTCTGGAATTTCTCCCTCTTCCTTCCTAATCCAGTTCCTCAAGGAGCATTCTTCAGTTCTTATGGCTTTCCTATTGATCCCAGGATTTTTGATCCCATGATGTTTTCCAGTTGTCAGGGGCTGAGGAGGTTTTTTGGCTTGGTCTCGTCATTGCTGTTGTGTCTCTGCTCCCTTTTCTACTCCCCCATCCAGTGTCTGCAGAAGATTTTCCGGATCAGCTGGGAATTGCAAATCAGGAGGATTAGCATTTGTATCCACCACGCTCCAGCAGAAGGGGATTACAAGTCCTGGGTCACTCAGGAGCTCGGGAATGTAGCTATGGAGGGGATGGGAATTCTGCTCTGCTCCCACACGGCTGCCTCAGCAGATTATAGAACCCAGGGATATCCAGGATTGGGAGGGACCCACAAGGATCAAGGTCCAGCTCCAGGACACCCCAACAATCTCACCATGTGCTCCTTGAGCTCTGGCAGCTTTGGAAGTGGCCACCTCCTCAGGGAGCCTGTTCCAGTGCTCCCTCCAGGAGAAAAAACCTTTTCCTAAAAATAATATTTTGCTTGTGTTTTGTGGAAATGCAGGATAGGATTCCAGAATGTGATTCCTGTCCTTTGGGATCAGACTTTTCCTTCTCTTTCCAGGCAGTAATAGATATTTGGCATCAAATAAAAAAGGAGAACTCCAGGCACATTCCCAGGAATGCCAGTGAAGGATACTGGTGGGATAACACATTCCCAGTAATGCCAGTGAGGAATACTGGGAAGGCATGATCCCAGTAATGCAGGGATGGTTGTACCCTGGGAAGTTTCTATGGAGAAATGTGTATTATATTTATGGGTTGTCATTCCCTGTGCTCTGACTTCCATATTCCCACCCCATTCCGTTCAAGTGCATGTCTGTAATTAAAGGAATTAAATATCAAATGAACAACTTAAATTTGATTCAATACATATTATTCATTGAAAAGGAATAACCAGAATATTTTATATTGATTTTAAAAAGTTTTATTGGGGAAAAAAAAAACCTAAAGGAAGAAAGAGGGGTCTTGGGAAGCATTTTCCTTGTTCTTTCTGGATGTGTATTCCCAGGCTCTCTGGATCGGAGAGGTCGTGGCTCCTCTCACAGTTCCCCTCCTTTTCTTGCCATCAGGGACATTTTTTTCCCCTCCTGTTGCCTGGCAATTCCTGTGGGATCAGCCAGGTCCTGCCCTGTGCTTTCCCTCTGTTCTGTGGGCTGTTGTGCAACATCTTAGGACTGGTTTTCCGGAGGACAAGCATCCGACCTAGGTCCTGTCTTACACCTTGGCCTGCTTATTATGGATTTAATTCCTTAGTTCTTTCTTGCTGTTGGAATCAGCTCCTAAAACTGAATTAAACCAGGAACTCTGTTATTTTGTAAAGGGAAAAAAAAAAGTGCCACCCAATATTTCCCAAAACATCATCTGGGAATGTTGAGTTTATTTTCCAAGTAAAACGAAACTTGTGAATTCATCACATTCCTACTTCAAGTCCTTGTAGATGTTTGTTGAATCCCATAAAGGAGTTTTTCCCAAGGGGCTGGAGGGGTAGGACAAGGGGGAATGGCTTCCCAGTGCCAGAGGGCAGGGTTAGATGGGAATTGGGAAGGAATTCTTGGCTGTGAGTGTGATGAGGCATCACAACCTCATTTCTCTGACTGAGTATGACATATCCACAAATGGAAAAGTGGGAGCGCTGCCCTCCCACCCCTCCAAGGTTTCTTGTGTCCCACCAGAAGGAAACTCCTGGCTGGAGGCCATTAGGAATATCCCAAACCTTGGAAAACCGTTCCATCCAGCAAATCCCTGGTGAACCTGGTGCAGTAACGCAGTGCCCACCTCTCCAAAGGGCTTTTCCCAGTGGCCAACTAGAGTCTCCCAATCCATCATTTGGGGAAAGAAAGGAGTAGAGAGAAGTGTCTTGTGTTCCTGGAGGTCTTTTCAGCAAAACACAAGGAATTAGGGTTGTGGAGATAAAGAAAAGGAGATGATCAGCTGGAGGAGGACGCAGCTCAGTCGGGAGTACAAGATTCCAGCAGGGATCACTTCCGAAGGGAACATCATCAAGGCTTGCAGTGAAAGGAATTAATAGGGAATATATCAAGGAAGCTGTTTGGGAACTGCTGAGAGCAGAGTTGATCACACAGGGAGCTTTGAAGAAATCCATGTGTTTGTGGGTCACCTGGGGGTGAAACCCGTCATCTCGCAGAGGAAAAGCTGGGAATTCACAGCATGGGATCCATCTGTGGAAAGAGAAAACAAGCCAATATAAGACCAGCTCTGCCAACATCCTTTGGTTTTCCTCAGTCTGAAATTTCTTGCAGGGGAACTGCTTCCAGGCCAGATTGGAGCAACCTGGGATAGTGGAGAGTGTCCCTGCCCATGGAACTGGATGAACTTTAAGGTCCCTCCCAACCCAAACCATTCCATGATTCTTGTTTTCCATTAGAATTCCTGTTCTATTTCTATAGCAAATCAAATGTTTTGTTCCATGTGAGGCGTGTCCAATCAACTTTTGGTTCTGGTGTAGCCAAAATAAAAGCGTAATTAAAACGGGAGCTGTTAACTGGGGGGGAACCCCCTTGTGTTACAAATTCCTGAGCTCACAGCAGCCTTTTTTTGGGAAAAGGTGGGATAGAGCCCTGGAACCTCCTGAATGAAACTTTAGCAGCTGAAATGGGAGTTAATTTAATTACTGTTTGTGGATCCCCAGTGAGAGTCAGGCTTCAAAGGACTTCCATGAAAAGTTGTCAGGAAATTATTGGGATTTGGATGCACTGCAAGGTCAGGAGGCCTTTTCATGTTCAAGGAGACTTTGGCTGGATGTGATTTGCATGTGATTTGCATAACATGAATGTTGAGGGCCAACAGGTCAGGGAGGAAACGTTGCTTTTTTGCTTTGTCTTCTCTCTTTGTTCCCACTCTTCATGTTGGTTTTCTGCTGCTTGGTGGGAAATGAGGGATTTTTTGGCACACAGAGAAAATCCTGCTCTTTTCCCGAAGGGGCTCCCAAAAGCATTTCCATCCCACTTTCACAAAGACAGTGCAATGGGAGGGGAAAGGGAAGGTCACCTTGACAAAAGGACTCACCTGTCCGTGTCACTGCTTTAAAACTCCTGGAAAATAGATTTATTTTGCATTAGGACTCTGCTTGTAAATATTTTATTCCCCTATTTCGAAAGGATAACAAGAATAACTTCAGGAACTTCCTGGATTTCGAGTGCCAGGTTTATTATTTTATTTTATTTTGTTTTATTCATAGATGTTGGAACAGGCTCCCCAGGGAAGGGGACTTTGGACAAGGGCCATCAAACCCTTCTGCTGGAATGTCAGTCCCGAGCCCAAACATTCCATGGATGTAAAGTTTTACAATGATTTTCCTGGTGATCTGAACACTCCATGAAGCCACTGATGGCAATCCCTGTGTCCCTGTGGCTTTGCTTTATAACCCTGATTTCCTTGGCTTTCAGAACTGCTCCTCCTGTGCCAGCTGGGGGGTGGAGGGACAGCTAATTAATTAAGCACTAATTGTTGTCAAGTCGGTGGTGCTGCCATTCACTGTTGGATTTGTTTATGATTGGAGGTAAAGCAGGAGGAGTTAATGATCCACCAAACTGTGCATCCATCACCAGACACTTGGTTGGGAAGGAGGGGGTTATTTATGACCTGGAAAACAGCACATTGGAACAAAACCCCCCGGACTGGGAAGGCAGGATGGTTTTGGGTCTGGCGTGAGATCATCACTGGATGACTGTGGAGACAAATGTGCTGCCTAATAGAGCTTAATGACTGATTTTCCCCTTAATCATGACTGAGAATGTGCTTCATTAAGATAATTAACTGAGCCACTTGTTTAACTGACACCTGGGAGACACAAATTCCCAAGTTCCTTGGCTTTCCTCTGAAGAAAACTCCTGAGGAGTTTTCTCAGGAGTTCCACCGGACAGGGCTCCACCGGAACGCGAGGGCTCTTGGAATCTCCTGGCTCATGGAAGATCTTGATTCCATGTCTGTGTCTGGGAGAGGGCTGGGTGGCACTGGATGCCCTGCCCAGGAGCCAGGCCTTGGCCTCTGGGTTTTCCCACTCCAAGCTCACAAATCTTTGCAGATGGGCTTTGATCTCCTGATTCCCCAAAGGTCGGGGCTCGGTTGGGGTTGGTTTCATCACCCAAAAACTTTTCCCTCTTCCAAGGGGGAGGATTCCTTGTCTGACTGGTGGCTTCTCCTCTTTGCTGCAGCTGGAAGTGGGGTCATGAATCCTGAGCCCCCCTGGAGCAGGGATGTGTCAGATCCATCTGCTCCATTTGTAGGCAGAACACACAGCGCTGGAGAATTTCTGGGAATTAACGGAGAGATCCAAGCCGTGAATTATTAAATATCTCTTTGGTTGTGATATCTGGTTGTAAATCCTTCCCTTCCCAGCTCTCTGTGTCTGGAATTCTAACAGGGGGATGTTTGGAGCCGACATCTCAACTCTGCTTTTCTTTTGTTCCCAGAGTTCCTGGTCTTCCACCATGAATCCTGTTTACAGCCCCGTCCAACCGGGGGCTCCCTATGGAAACCCGAAGAACATGGCATACACAGGTAGGACTGGTGTTCCCTGGCTCCTTCCCGAGTGTCCATGTCCCGTTGGGGGAGCAGGTTGTCATTCAGGAGTGATGGGAGAAAGAGTTCCCATCAGGGAACGGGATTCACGGGGAAAACCTTCCAGCGGCGTCAGCGCAGTGAGTAGTGAGGAGAGTTGAATCCATAGGAGGATGCCCTGGAAATCCCAAGGAAAAGGATCAAAAGGGAGTTTCTTTGGATAAACAAACCAGGCAAGAAGTTGCTGGGAGGGTCAGTGGGAGCTTTGTGTGTGGAGCTGAACTGGGCTTGTCTCTGGAGCTGGGCTTGTCTCTGGAGCTGGGCTCAACTTCCCTCCAGAGCTGAGCTGAGCTTCCCATGCACGTGCTGGAATAATGCAGCTGGAGAAGTGAGGATCCCCCAGGATCTGCTGTTGTTTGGAGAATGTACAGTTCCTCTTGGAGGTGGGGACTTAAACCCTGTTCTTGGCTGAGTTCTTTGATCTCAGGTTCCGCTCTGCTTGAGCCGATCTGATGTTGAGGAGCGAGTCTGACTTAAAGCCCTTCTTTGGAACTGAGTTGTCTAAAAATGTAATTTTTAATACTCCAACGAGGCACTGAAAGATGTTTCCCATAATTCTGCAGCTGAAGGGTTCTGTTGTGGAAAGAATTTAGGTGGAAAAACTCGGTTTCTCAGTGGTTTTCCCCATGGATTTTGCTCTCATGAGCACCTTCCAAAACAAGCCTTGGAAAACTCCTTCTCCCATTTTGGATGTAATTAGGTCTTGGGTGTCATGTTGTGTCAAGACTTTATATTTGTGGGGCCTGTTGGGCGTGTCGACTTCCCCCTGATGTGTGGAATTGCTTGGGAATGTGCTTTTGTGGAAGTGAGCATCAGACACTCTCAGCTCCTTTGTGTATGGAATATTCCCAGGAACAAAACATTTTAAATTTGAATTATTTGGAATATTTCAGGAAATATAAAGTTCTACAGCAAAGGAGGAGGAGAAAATTGAAATTTTAACCCCTGTACAGAAAAGAGACAACTCCTGAGGGTGGGCTCAGAACTTATGGGAAGAGCTGTGGAATAAAACTCCAGTGGGATACAGGCAGAAAGAAAACAAGGATGGCAATGAGGAGACTGGCAGCTTGAATATGTGGGTTTTTTCAGTTTTATGTGAATATTTTCTAGTGTTTGATATTTATTATTTTTATTTCTGTGGTTGCTTTTGGCTGAAAGGATCAGTTTGAATCTGATTTTTTTCTCATCTCTTTGCTGTTTTCCAAACCTGGGTGGGGGAAGAGAGATCTAATACAAGAGAAATAATACAAGTTTTTGTACCAAATTGGCTGTTGGGGAAACTGGGAAATCCTTGTGTTAGGAAGAGTGAGGAATCCTTGGCACAGACCCAAGAACTTGGAGCACCATCCCTTTATTCACATCCTTCATTTTCCCATTCTGATCTGCCTTGAAGGACAGTGATTTCCTAAAGAATTTTTAAGGTGTGGGCTGGCTTAGATGGATCTTTAGAGGAAATAAAAATCAAGTTTAAACCAGGAGGTTTTAAATCAGAGTTGTTTGGTGAAATAGAGGCAGAATTGGGAAGCTGTTGTTTGAATTGAGGCTGATTTTTAATTGGATTTAAGGCTTGGTAGAATTCCTTCCCCCCAACAAAATCTGAGCTGCTGAACCACCTGGTTTCCCTTTGGAATGTCCCCCTTCCTGTTTTCCTGCACCCACTCCAGGAAAGCAGCAGTGCTGTGGATGGATCAGCCTCTTGGTGTGGAATCAGGGGTGAGGAATCCAACCTCTCCTTGTTTGATTCCAGCGGTGTTTGTTTTCCCTCCCGCTGGGATCCTTTTCCTCCCAGGAGCTCATTAATATGCTGATGAGATGCTGGAATTCAGGGCCTGACTGACTCCGTCTTCCTTATTGCTGAATAATAAATGGGAATAAAATCCAGGAGCCCACAGATGCGAAGCCGGTTGGGAAATCTCCAGGGAGTTTGTGTCGCTCCAGGGCACAACATCCCTCCGGTCCTGCTGCACTTCCCAGCCTGGGAGGGATGCTCATGGAATTCCGGGATGGTTTGAATGGGAAGAGACCTTAAAGCTCATCCAATCCCACCCCCTGCCATGGGCAGGGACACCTCCCACTATCCCAGGTTGCTCCAGCCTGGCCTTGGACACTTCCAGGGATGTGGCAGCCACAGCTTCCCTGGTAGAAATCCTCCTTTTAACCCTCCTTTGTAGGACACAGAGAATTCCAAGCGTGATTTCAGCCTTTTTATTAACTTGAGCTTCAAACTGGGCTGTGTTATTCCCTGGAAAATCTGGGCTTTGATAGAGATTGGTTCTTTCCAAGTTCTGCTGTATGGAAAGAGAATAAACTTGCCTTTTTTTTCCCGTTCTTTTTGGTATTCCTGATCACATTTTTGGGGAGCGCTGAGGAACATGAGGCTTTGATGCCAAAGCAGGTGGGATTGGGCTTCTCCCTCCTTCCTTTTCCTTCTCTTTCTAAGATCTTCCTGCATGTCCCCCCCTTCCATGGATTGGGATATTTAATTAGGGGATCCATTGCTTACCAGTTGTGTAAAACAGGAATTTTCAAGGCATTGAATTGATTTCAGGGGGATTAAAAATGGATGAAGTGGATACAGTGAATATTTTCCCTCTGGCATTTCTCCATGTTTATTAATTGCTGTGTGTGGAGCAGACAGGGAAATCCTCCTGGAATGGGAGATGAATGAGCTGTGACCTGTGGAGACTCTTGTTTTTATGTTTAAATGTGGGATTTCCATACTGGGAAACTTCCAAACAACTTGTGGAATCATGGAATCACAGAAATGCTAAAAATATGCTAAAAAGTCCAAGGTGAATCCTTTGAAATTCCTGTAAAACCTGCAACATGAAGGTCATAAAATTCCCTTAAATTCTGCTAAATCCATATTTAAAATGAACTGCCTGGCTTTTGTCTATCAAATTTAGAGTTTTTTTGGGGTGGAGAAGGAAGCAGAGGGTTTTGGGATCCGATTAGGGGCGGAATCCCCATCCCTGGAAGTGTTCAAAATCCCCGTGGATGTGGCACTTGGGGACGTGGGTGAGTGGTGGCCTTGGAAGGGCTGGGAGAAGGGTTGGACTCGATGATTTTCCAGATCTTTTCCTGCCTTTGTGATTCTGTGATGCCCAAATAATTCATGAAGTGGTTTGGAGATTGGTTCAGTTGACGTCAACCTTCCAGCCTTCCAGGAGCTCCAGAGAAACGTTGGGAAACATCCCTCCCCCCTTGTTTTGTCCCTGTGGCGAGGGCAGAAAAGAGAGAATAGTGTAGGGGGGTGGAAGAACCAAAAAGATGGCCTTGGAAACATGTTTTTAATTTTAATTTTTATTTTCATTTTTATTTTCATAATTTAATTTTTATTTCTGTTTTAAGCACCAGCCCCACCAAAGCTCTTCCCTTCCCTTGCACATCAGCAAATTCTAACCGGTGATTTTGGCTTTGAAAATGTGGATTCAGGATTAAAATTGGTGACTGAAGGGGTTTTTTATTGTCTTTTTTTTCTCAGTCTCTCTAAATCACAGAATGAAACTGGGGGTTTGATGGCTTTGTTCATTTTTAGGGTGTTTCTGAGCCATCCTATTTTCCTTTGTTTTAGCCATGTTTTCCGTCATTTAAACCTTCTTTTTCTTCGTGTTCCCTGTGCTTCCGTGTGTTTTCCTGGATGTTCCTTTTACTTTGCTCCTGAACAGCAAGAAGGTTCAGTGCAGGAAGTCAAATTGGCCCTCTTGGCATTGCAGGGGTTGGAAAAGCTCCTTAACGTGATTCCTTCACCCGTAATTCCATCCTCCCTCCCCAGAACTATCCCTGGATGTCCAGTTTGTCCCAGCAGAGACCCTCCAACAATTCCTAAATCCATCAGTGATGCTCCACCCTTAATATGTGCTGCCTTCCCCCCACACACCCTTTTATACCAGATCTGTTAGAACTGAACCTATTTCCCCTAGTTTGTACAGATTTATTAGTACTGAGCCTATTTTCCCTGGTTTGTCCCAGATCTGTTAGAACTGAATCTGTTTTCCCTGGTTTGTCCCAGATCTGTTAGTACTGAGCCTATTTCCCCTTGTTTGTCCCAGATCTGTTAGTCTGAGACTATTTTCTCTGGTTTGTCCCAGATCTGTTAGTCCTGAGTCTGTTTTCCCTTGTTTGTCCCAGATCTGTTAGTCCAGAGCCTATTTTCCCTGGTTTGTACCAGATATGTCAGAACTGAGTCTGCTTTCCCTGGTTTGTCCCAGGTCTATTAGTACTGAGCCTATTTTTCCTGGTTTGTCCCAGATCTGTTAGTCCAGAGCCTGTTTTCCCTGGTTTGTATCAGGTATGTTAGAACTGAGTCTGTTTTCCCTGGTTTGTAGATTTATTTGTCCCAGATCTGTTAGTCCAGAGCCTGTTTTCCCTGGTTTGTCCCAGCTCTGTTAGAACTGAGTCTATTTTCTCTGGTTTGTAATCTGTTCATTACCGAGTCTGTTTTTCTACTGGACTTTATACCAATATTTTAGTTCTAGTTTGCTGAGGATCAGCTTTCCCAAAGCTGGGCTTAATAATCACAGAATCCCAGAATAGCTGGGCTTGGAAGGGACCTTCCAAATCATCCATTTCCAGATCTGTTTGTGGCAGATTTTGCCTCGTCTGACACCAAAATCAGGTGTTGCTTCTCTGCAGCTCCATTTCTATCCTGATTTTTCCTGCTCCTGCCCTTCCCTCCAGCTGCTCTCGCTGCCATTCGGCCTCATTTCATCTCAGGCAGGACTGGGGGAGAATTTTAATGTCTCTGTGGCCAGAGATGATTTATGGGATCCCAAAGCCCTGGCTGGGAGTGCAGGAAGAAAATCCTGGTTGGCACCGCTCGAATAAATGAGCCTAAAAGGCCCTTTAGTGTTCCAGGCTTTTTTCCTTCCCTTCCCCTTGCCCTCCCCGGGCCTTTCCCAACCCCTGAATTCCTCCTGGTGGTGAGAAGAGCTCGTTTC